GGCCCTTGCCGGCCGTCTGGCAACTTTCTCCGACCAAACTGACCTCTCTGGACCTGTTCTGACCTCACATGAACATTAAACTGAATTTAAACGAAATTGCTGAACTTACTCTCCGACCCTAACTCCCGGCCGTGGCACGCTCGCTACGTGCGAGGCCTACGGCCTTCGGCCAGTTCTCGACCAACACTGAACATCACTGAACTTAACCTGTCTTACATGAATATACTTATCAAACATGACCTGAAGACACAACAAACGCACCATGAACATGAAAGGGCCGCGGCAGACGCCCGTGCGCCGCCGACGGCTATACGCCGTCTCTCGGCCATAACTCTCTTTTCCACGGCAACAACAGAACCACTTGACATGAATATTATACTGAGGCAATTTAAAATAGAAACACATGGCTGAACATGAATATTGCTAAAAGCAACAAGATACGGACCACGGCCGCCTGTGGCTACGACCGATAGGCGCTAGCGATGGCATGGGCCAATTTCTCAACAATACTTCAACTTTACTCGACAAAACTGAACTTATTGAACATAAAATAAGCTGAGCTGAACAATTAAACATTAACAGATCGGGAGTTGCCGGGAAAAATCGAGAATTACTCGGTAATGATCTTACTTAAACATGCTCGGCTATATGCACGGTTTTCTTAAAATTTCTCAAATATAATCCGAACCCTAAACTTTAACCTGACTTAATGAACAAGGATATAAGATGAAGGAGGATTTACCTCTCCGATCGCTCGACGGAAATCCGAAAATAGGGCGTGATCAATGGCTCTTGCGCTTGCCGTGCGATTGTGCTTCCTTTGCCGTGTGATAACTCTTGCTTTGCCGTGTGATATGTGAGGAAAATCTTAGGGAATTGCTTAAACTAAGTTGCTGTTTGAAGGGGCTTTATATTCTGAATATGCTAAGGAAAATTGAGGGGAAAATTTGGGTTCAAATACTCCTTATATACTAGATGCCGTGAGGGAAATGAGGTGATAGGTGTGAGACGTGGCCAACTCCCATGCTTGCCACTTTCTTGTCTAAAGTTCACCATATAAATGACTAATCACTCTCCTCAATTTACACGTGTAAGGGCTAATATGTGAAGGAAAGAAGTATCCTTAAGCCTTAAGGAAATAATGAGTACCATTGGGCCTAATACTCCCCATGCTCACGGCCTAACCCAAAAATTGGGACCAATTCTTGACATCTCATGGCTAATGGGCCTTAACTTGTGATTAATTCATAATTAATCACTTATTTTATGTTTAATCATTTAATTAAACATAATACCGAATTGCCAAAATTATTTCGAACGTAAACGGTACGTTGAAAATAGATTTCGGTATTAACGACTGAAAATAATTAATTCCGTAAATAATAAACGATAACATTATTATATCGGAATTAAAGCGTAATTTATACCGATAAAATATCGGGATATTACACTAGCTCTCTATCCCAAGACCCAGTATCAATATCAAACAGGTCACACACCCTAACCAGATTATCCCTATCATTAACAAAGCAGCATGTGAGAGTGGGATTAAGATTTCTTGGAAGCCAAGGGTTCTCCCAAATTAAAATGGACTGCCCATCCCCCACCTGATATCTAGCACCTATCTTCAAAATCCCCAGAGCCCGAATCCAACCCTTCCAAAGCCAAGAGTCACCATTCTTGGGTTTGACATAAAAAATACTAGACCTGTGGAAGTATTTCCCTCTAAGAACTCTACTAAGGTGAAGGTTAGGTTGAGTAATCACTCTACAAAGTTGTTTAACTAGCAAGGAAGTGTTAAACAATCTCAATTTTTTTGAAACCCAGCCCACCCATACCCTTAGGTTTGGCTAAACTATCCCAGCAAACCCAATGATTTTTCTGCCCCCCTTGCTCATTACTACCCCACCAAAAATTAGCCACAACCCTACTAATGTTATGACACACACTAACAGGGAGGTGGAAACAAGACATCACAAAGGTGGGGAGGGCTTGGAGAACTGATTTGGTCAGCACCTCCTTCCCAGCCAAACTCAAGAAATTATTCTTCCAACAAGATAATCTTTCCACCACACAATCAAAAATGAATTTAAAAGTGTCTCTTCTATTCCTGCCAATCCCAAGGGGGAGGTCCAAGTATTTAGAGGAGTTCACACATATAATACCTTTCAACACATTACAGATTCTCACCTTGGAAACATCAGGAGTATTCTTAGAGAACATGATAGATGACTTACTCAGATTGACACTTTGCCCCGAGGTAGAACCAAAGCATTCAAGAATTTGCAGAATAAGGTCAGCATGATGCACATCAACAGTGCAAAAAAGTATAGTGTCATCAGCAAATAACAAATGAGGGACAGGGGAGAGAATCTACTAATTTTAATACCAGAGTAGAGAGACAATGCACATGCTTGAGAAATCAAATTGGACAAAGCTTCTGACACGATGATAAACAGATATGGGGAAATAGGGTCACCTTTCCTGATGCCCCTGGAAGGTTTGACAAAACCAAGAACTTGACCATGAACATTAAAGGAGAAGGATGTAGTATTCAGACAAGCAAGGATCCAATTAATAAATTGGGCAGCAAATCCCATCCTCCTACACACTGTAATCAGGAAACCCCATTCTACCCTATCATAGGCTTGGCCATATCTAGTTTCACAGCCATGAGACATTTAGACCCTTTTCTTTTACTGTCTATGAAATGAAGACATTCATTGGCTATAACAACATTATCAAGAATTTGTCTCCCAGGCACAAAGACAGCCTGAGAGTCACTAATACAAGGACTCAACACAACTTTTAGCCTATTAGCAATGATCTTAGAGATTGTTTTATAGATAACAGTACAAAGAGCAATAGGTCTGAAATCAAAAACAAGAGAGGGGTTAGATGTCTTAGGAATTAAGGTAAGAACAGTGTGGTTCAAACCTTTTGGCATTTTACCAGAAGCAAAAAAGTTGGTAATAGCTGCACAAAAATGGTGTTTAATGATATTCAAACAAGACTGGAAAAACAGAGCAGTCATGTCATCAATACCTGGGGCTTTATTAGGTTCCATATCTTGAAGAGCCTCAAAAATCTCTGCCTCAGTCACTGCACAAGTCAACTTGAGATTCATATAAGCATCAATAGACATAGGAATACCATTCAAATCACAAGTATCTAACTCAGGTTGCGAGGTACAAAACAGGTTCTGATATAAGAGTTCCAGTTCACCAACAATCTCCTGCTCATTAGCACACCTCCTACCACTAGAGTGCATCAGATTATCAAGGTTATCCAGCTTCCTTCTATGGTGAACAGAGGCATGGAAGTATTTGGTGTTCTTATCACTTTTCCTAAGCCACTGATTTCTGGATTTAAGCTTCCAATAAATTTCCTCATCAAGGTAAGCTTGATGGAGTTGATTTTTCCATTTAACCCACTCATTCCAGTCTCTCTCACCTTCCAGAATTTCCAAATCAGCAATGGCTACCTGACAGCTCTCTATCATTTTAGCAGAGTTGGTATTCTGATTCTTCTTCATCTAAGAATTGCCATCCTCACATTTCTAACCCTAGTCTGCAAGCTATACAACAGAGGCCCACTAACAGGGAGATTCTAAGCCTCCTCTACAACCCCCATAAATCCCTCTATCTGAACCCACCTAGCATCAAAAAGAAATCTTTTGGGTCTAGGTTTCAATGAACAATCACTATCCAACACCAGCATACTGTGATCAAAAGATATAAGAGAAATGTGAGTAACTAGGCCATTAGGGAAATGGGACAACCAGCTCTGAGAAAAGAAAATTCTATCAAGTTTGGCCTTAATAAACTCAGGGCCCTGCCCGAGGTTGGACCAAGTGAAGTGGTGGCCAATAGTTTTGGTCTCACTCATCTTCATCTAACTAACAAAATCAATGAAAGGTTGGAAACTAGCAGGATCCCTGACTTTACCTCCAGACTTGTCTTGATTAGACAAGATGGCATTAAAGTCTCCTCCCCAAGAACCAGTTATCACCCCACTGATCTTTCATTCCCAACAAAGTGGCCCATTGGCCACTTCTGATATCAGCATCAGTGCTGAGATAGACAAAAATACCCCATTGGGTGACATCACAATTTGTAATTTTGAACTTTATACCAATACACAAATCTAGGCAAAAGTAGTCAAGGACACTGACCTTACAAGACCAAGACAACAACAGACATCCCTTAGTCCCTTAGGGATTGCTAAACATCCAATTATCTTTCAGTTTTAACTTTTTACACACAGATTCAACAAATTTTTGTTTTCTATTTTAACTTCAGAAAGGAAAACAATGTCTGGGAGATGAGTTCTAATTGCCTCTCGCAATTGAGAAACTGTAGAGGGTCCTCCCAAACCTCTACAATTCCACACACATACTTTCATTTAGACTTTTGGGACCAATTAAGGCTGGTCTCCTCCACCACAGGACTCTAATTGTTCTTAGACACTTTCACTTTTTTCTGACTTAATCCACTACTGATACCCTCTAAGTTATCTGACAAGCATTCATCCAAATTTCTTTTGGTAGAAACCCTGGAGGGTTCTATGACATGAGAACAAGAAATGGAAACCTCAACTACCATATCCTCTGGGATACTGGTAATGTCGGATTTGTTCATTTTCTTACTGGACAAAAATTTCCTTCTTTTTTGGATAGTTCTATTCTCTATAGTTGTTGGCTGAACTGCCACTTCAACCAGCTGTTCTTTGGGAGCCCAAGAAGGGGGAACATAAAGAGGATGTTCAGGGGCCATAGGAGATACATGACTATGCATCTCTTTGCCAACCTCTGAGCTTCCACTAATGGCAGTACTGTCAACCTCTTTATCCAAAGATAGAGGTGAAGGTGTGCCTCTAATTGAAGTATCATCCTTTCCCTCACTAGGGGTATAGACTAAGATAGCTTTACTAGAAACTTTCACATGAGAGTCTTCTTTAGTTCCACCAGTCTCAGAGGACTTATAATTTCTAGCTTCATTAAAAAAATTAGAGCTGGCCTTCAACCATTCGCCAAATTGACCCAATTTAAACACATTATCATCTAAATCCTCTTTGTTGGCTTTACAGTTTTTATCAAAATGGCCAATATAACAACAGTAATAGTAGAAATGTTGGAGGATCTCGTACTTGAAATCCACCCAACGACTTTCTTGCCCGGATTTGAGGGTCATTCCTCTGGGGATAGCCTCTTTCAGACTCATTTCCACTCTAATCTTGAGAAGCATTCCATTAGGACTTCCCAGGCCCGGTAAACTCACATCTAGCACCTTCCCAATCATTTTCCCTATCTTCACCCCTATTGCTGCAGTGATCCAGTGGAGGGGCAAATGGTGCACTTGCACCCAAATCTTTATTTTTTCGTCTTCCTCAGTGAAGTTTGGGGATGCTGGACTCCATTCCTTCAGAAGGAGATACTGACCATCAAAAGACCAAGTCTTCCCATAAAGAATCTTGTCCTTGTCTTCAGCAAGACTGAAGATGAATTGAAAGAGATTAGGCCCAATATTGCGAATAGAGAATTGTTGCTCTGTGGTCCAGATGTTGCTGAGTGTTTCTTTGAGCCCACTCAAAATTGACCCTTTTTTCCCCAAATATCTTTCCTATGAGGCTCAACTGACATTCCTCCAACCCAGTCGCAAAATCCTCATCTTCTACAACCAACCCACTACCTTCCTTGTCAGACAACCGAAATTTCTTCAATTTGTCGGTCAAATCGTCCTCCATAATCCCAGAGGCAGAACCTAACAACAGCCCAGGTAAGCGCAAGAACTAAAAAGACTAAAAGGCAAGAAGAAACAGAGAAAACGATGAAATGGAGAAAACACACAAGGGAAAAGCAGAAATCTGACCTAGCCGACAGAAACCTGGACATGATTGAAGAAAACCACATACAAGAGAACAGGAAACCCTAGACACAACACACAGCTGAAAAGACGTCACCAAAACAAGGAAACTAAGGACACAAAAGCAGAAAACAATCAGAGAATCAAGAAGTTAACTCCATGAATTTCCAACGGGAGAATCCAAATTGAAGAGCTGGCATCTCACGAGGGAAAAAATGTCTCACGAAGAAGAAAAAATCTCACGAAGGAGAAAAATTCCAACCAATTAATTGAGTGAATTAATTATACTAATTTGACTTCAATTGTACGAATTTGACTTCAATTATTCTAATTCGAGTTCGATTACACTATAATTTGAGTTCAATTGTACGGATTTGACTTCAATTATACTAATTTGGCTTCAATTGTACGAATTTGACTTCAATTGTTCTAATTTGACTTCAATTATTCTAATTCGAGTTCGATTACACTATAATTCGAGTTTAATTGTACAGATTTGACTTCAATTATACTAATTTGACTTCAATTGTACTAATTTGACTTCAATTATTCTAATTTGACTTCAATTAGACTAATTCTTGTTCAATTGGACTAATTTGACTTTAATTGTACTAATTTGACTTCAATTGAAAGAATTTGACTTTAATTGTACTAATTTGACTTCAATTATTCTAATTTGACTTCAATTATTCTAATTCGAGTTCGATTACACTATAATTCGAGTTCAATTGTAAGGATTTGACATCAATTATACTAATTTGACTTCAATTGTACGAATTTGACTTTAATTGTTATAATTCGAGTTCGATTACACTATAATTCGAGTTCAATTGTACGGATTTGACTTCAATTATACTAATTTGACTTCAATTGTACGAATTTGACTTCAATTGTTCTAATTTGACTTCAATTATTCTAATTCGAGTTCGATTACACTATAATTCGAGTTCAATTGTACGGATTTGACTTCAATTATTCTAATTCGAGTTCGATTACACTATAATTCGAGTTCAATTGTACGGATTTGACTTCAATTATACTAATTTGACTTCAATTGTACTACTTTGACTTCAATTAGACTAATTCTTGTTCAATTGGATCAATTTGACTTTAATTGTACGAATTTGACTTCAATTGTTCTAATTTGACTTCAATTATTCTAATTCGAGTTCAATTACACTATAATTCGAGTTCAATTGTACGGATTTGACTTCAATTATACTAATTTGACTTCAATTGTACGAATTTGACTTCAATTATTTTAATTTGACTTCTATTAAACTAATTCTTGTTCAATTGGACTAATTTGACTTCAATTGTACTAATTTGAATTCAATTGGACGAATTTGACTTCAATTGTACTAATTTGACTTCAATTATTCTAATTCGAGTTCGATTATAATTCAAGTTCAATTGTACGGATTTGACTTCAATTATACTAATTTGACTTCAATTGTACGAATTTGACTTCAATTTTCTAATTTGACTTCAATATTTCTAATTCGAGTTCGATTACACTATAATTCGAGTTCAATTGTACGGATTTGACTTCAATTATACTAATTTGACTTCAATTGTACGAATTTGACTTTAATTGTTCTAATTTAACTTTAATTATTCTAATTCGAGTTCGATTACACTATAATTCGAGCTCAATTGTACGGATTTGACTTCAGTTATACTAGTTTGAATTTAATTATTCTAATTTAACTTCAATTATTCTAATTTGACTTCAACTAGACTAATTCTTGTTCAATTGGACTAATTTGACTTCAATTGGACGAATTTGACTTCAATTGTATTAATCTGACTTCAATTATTCTAATTTGACTTCAATTATTCGAATTTGAGTTCGATTACACTATAATTCGAGTTCAATTGTACGGATTTGACTTCAATTATACTAATTTGACTTCAATTGTTCTAATTTGACTTCAATTATTATAATTCGAGTTCGATTACACTATAATTAGGGCAATGGTCCGCGAAATGTTCGGGATCACCACATCTACTGCATTAATCCTGGCCCTTCTGCGGCACGCTCGATGATCCATTTGCATTATAAAGCGTCTCGTTTGGGTGCGACCGGGTCCAGGCTTCGAGATGATCTTTTGCCAATGCAGAATCAAATTCCATCCCACCTGCGGCCACGTGTCAGGATTTCCAATTGGAGCAAAATTCCAATTAGAAAATTGATCAACCCGGTTCGTAGTCCAAAAGTGGGAATCGTACAACAACTTCGGTTCATCATCCCGGTAACGACACACGGCTAATGCATGAGTGCATGGTTTCTGATATGTCTGCCACTCCCGACATGTACAACGCTTCTGCTGATAATGAACCTTAAACTTGTTTTCCACAATTATAT